ATGTCCATAATGGTGAAGTACAGTTTGTTTTGGTTTGATTTACTTTGCGGCATATCAACATCAATTGCTTATTTAATGCCGACAAAATTTTTATTGCTAGTAATACATGTAAGTACGCCATTATATTTTCGGCTAAATGTCCATTCGGTTAAATGCTCGACCGTCAAATATCCGAATACTATCACTCGCATTCTTGGGCAACGTCATATGAAGTTAATGTTTAAACCTTCGGCCTTTTCAGATACAAACATGGCCGCTTGGTCTCATCGTTCAGTTTTAAAGACGGGGATGTTTATATGAAAGCATGACGTGAACTTCTCTTCTGGCTTTTGCCGGTGTTATTTCTTTCCAATTCGCCAGAATCAGACTTTCGGACGGAACATGCTGTCGTCTCTCGGAACACAAGACAAGGAAGAAGCAAAATAAAAATAAATATAATACAAACAATATCAAGGTCTTTATTTTTGCAGCTTCTGCAGCTGTTGTTACTACTTCACGAGGCATGACGTCGGGCATTGTCAAAGCTGGTCACGTGATGCAGAAAATAAAAATGGTGTCGGGTTTAATATGGACAGTGTTAAACCGCATACAATAAACGAATGTTTGGTCGCCTAACTTGCGGCAGAAATGGTTGCGCTTATAACACTAGTGGTCAGTATTTAAGTCTAGACCAGGGTTTCTTGATCTGGGGTTCATGAATGAATTTCAGGGTATCCGTGAGGATCAGATAAAAATTAATATTTATATTCGCTATACAGCCATTATCCCAGCCAGCGGTTTCCCATTGAAAGAAATGAAAGAAACTGTAACCTGCCATTGCTTGAAAGCAAACGCTTCCAGAAACTACTTGCAGTGTCGATCATTAGGCGTCTCTTGACATCCTGTTGGGTCCATGTTTGCCATTCTCTGCACGACCGCCATCTTTTGTCACTCTATATGTGATAATTCTCATTTTTTACGGTTTATTACGGCTTGATTATCTTCTCATATACTGGTGTGGATTAATTGACGATAATTTCGTTCGAGCATGGCTGGCTAAAACGTGATGTGTGTGTGTCATGTCTATAATGGTGAAGTACAGTTTGGTTTGGTTTGATTTACTTTGCGTCACATCAACATCAATTGGTTATTTAATGCCGACAAAATTTTTATTGCTAGTAATATTTAATTCCAAAAATTAATTCCTATAGTAAAATAAATTAGCCATGGATTTATATTATACATGTAATAGCCCTATTCTATCAATATGAAGCATTCTATCAATATCATGCATTCTTGCCCACATTCCTGACCACTGACAATCCCTTTCTTTCTGATTTTCAAAGCATTCCTATAATAAAATCATTAGCGATGCATTTCCAATATATATATAATAGCCCTATTCTATTAGTAATGCGTGCCTTCATTCCTGACCACAGATAATCCCTTTTTTCATAATTTTCAATTAATTCCTATAGTAAAATCATTAGCCATGGATTTACATTATACGTATAATAGCCTTATTCTATTAGTAATGCTTGTATTCATTCCTGACCACAGATAATCCCTTGTGAGAATTTCTTCTCACACCGTTTAACCCCGGCAGAGACAAGAAAAGACATACAATTCAAACAAAGCCTACCTTAAAATTCAATACAAATTTTATTTCGTCTTTGCAAAAAAGATTATGCCCCTTTTGCGCCCCTGTGAATAGGTTGGGGTAGTTACTTCAAAGAAGTGGTCGTATTTTTCTTCTCTGTAGGACTCAACTGGTCTCTATGCAGATTCTAAGAAGCAGGAACTTGACGGTCGTCGCAGGAGCATTACCAATTTGGTTGCTGAAATAAAAACTCGGCTATTTGTCGAGAGCATGCAGAAAGGTTCTTCATGTAAAAATACATGTGACGACTGAATTATTCAGCCTTAAAAAAGTCTCTAGAATATGAGACAAGAAGAATAATTGCCTAGTCATTTAGGCTTAATTTTGGGCGCTAAAAGCCCTACAACGTGAGAGAAATATGAGTCCTGTCATCTCGAAGATTTTGCAGCAACTGAAAAAAAGGCACGGGCAGTTGAAAATGCCCGCGAAAGGCAAAGAAAAATTCAACCAAAGAGATTGGTCGGTACAAAAATACGGTGTGGCATAAATTAGCCAATAGGAGCTTAGCTTTAATTGCAGAATTTCTCACACCCTTTTTTCATGATTTTCAATTAATTCCTATAGTAAAATCATTAGCCATGCATTTACATTATACGTATAATAGCTCTATTCTTTCAGTAATACAGCGCTTGTCCACTCAACATTTTCCCATTGAAAGAAATAAAAGAAATTCTCTGTGTGACCGCCATCTTTTGCCACTCTATAAGAGCAAGTGATAATTCTTATTTTTACGTGTTATCTTCTTATACACTGGTGTAGATTAATTGACCACAATTGATGTGTATACAGTGTGCGCAGTATGAGGAAATACACGTACAAGTGGTATGAAAAATCAAGCAGACGTTATCTGCTTGGCTGTCTATTTGTCTATGAAAGGCTAAGTTCTCAAAAGGGCCTGTGACTGAAGTGGTCCTTGAGCATTAAAGATTTAGGCTTGTGGTCCTCAATAAACCATAGCTCTAGATCTGGAATGCTCATATTTGAGTCAGGCCCTGTCAAACTTCCCCTCCGACATTATCGACCATCATCTTTCGGTATCCCGTACTCCTTGTGCTGTTATACTTGGAATGTTTGTTATACTGTTTGTAATAATGTTACGACTTGTGGTACGCATGTATGACAGTAGGTTACCGAAGCAGCTATTTTATGGCCAACTTGCAAATGGTAAGCGCCCTCGGCATAAGCCAAAAAAGACATTCAAGGGCTATGTGAGGAATAACTTGAAGGAGCTTAGAGTGGGAATAGATGGCTGGGGAAAACCTTGCACGTGATCGTAATAAGTGACTCAGGGCTGTTGTAGACGGATGTAAGTCAGACACACATCCTGCCTTTTATAGATAGAGATAACAAAAATATAAAATTTATTAAGGACAGGAAATCGTGGAGAGCTACGATCGTCTACGTTCTTAAGTTTAACAGTACGAAGAAGAAGAAGGCGAATAATGGATGGCGGAACAAGGTTTAGGAGAGATAACAAAAAGGTAACATTTATTAAGAGCTACGAAGGGCAGGAAATCGTGGAGAGCCATGATCGCCTACGTTCTGAAGGGACACTGTACATAGAAGAAGAACTAGTTTGCTAAGTGTATGTCAGAACAGAGTTTAGGAGAGATAACAAAAAGGTAACATTTATTAAGAGCTACGAAGGGCAGGAAATCGTGGAGAGCTATGATCGCCGTTATGAAAGGACACGGTACACAAAAATAAGAAGCTTGTGTTAGTGGATGGCGAAACAAGGTTTCACCCCCAAGCAAGGAAATAAAGACTCTATCACGCAAAGGGACACTGAGTGTTCAAGAATATGACTCATTAAATGTTTTTGATTCTACTCGAGGCGAGAGAGATGTGGCTCTACAGAAGGATGCTGAGGATATCATGGACTGAATATACTGGGATGGCCAAGGACGCATTCCAAAAGCTGAGTAGAGTATTGAGAGACAGGAGGATTGCTTTGGTAACAAAGAAAAGAGTACTGAACTCCTACGTGACGACTGTCCTTCTTTACGGCAGCGAATGTTGGACGGTCTCCTCAATGATGAAGAAGAGCATCGAGGCAACGGAGGTATGGTTCTACAGAAGGATGCTGAGGATATCATGGACCGGGCGTGTGAGCAACAATGAGGTCTTAGAGAGGATGCAAACAAGGAGGAGGCTTATACTTACCATCAGGAAGAGGCAGCTGGAGTTTCTGGGACACATAAAGAGGAAGGAGGGCTTGGAGAATCTGATACTCACGGGTCGAATAGAGGGGAAAGAGAGACAAGGGAAAGTGTCATGCCTAGCGGATGGATAACAGAACATTATCTGGGGGAGGAAACAGAGGGAAAGAAACTTGTTGAGAGCTGCAAGGGATACGTCCTGAATTGACATGGTACATAAAAAGGAAAGAATTAAAAAAAAAAAGAAGACAAGAGGCGACGGAGATGTGGCTCTACAGAAGGATAGTAAGGATATCATGGACCGAACATATTTGGATGGCCAAGGACTCATTCCAAAAGCTGTGCAGAGTATTACAAGACGGGAGGATTTCTTTGGTATCAAAGAGAAGAATACTGAAATGTTACGTGACATCTGGGAGGGGGTGAATGTTAGACGATTTCCTCAAAGATGAAGAAGAGACTCGAGGCAACGGAGATGTGGTTCTACAGGAGGATGCTGAGGATATTATGGACCGAATGTATGAGAAACGAAAAGATCTTAGAGAGGTTGCAAATAAGGAGAAGGCTTATACTTAACCTCAGGAAGAAGCAGCTGAAGTTTCTGGGACACATAATGAGAAAAGAGGGCCTGGAGAATCTGATACTCACGGGTTGAATAGAGGGAAAACAACGCGTGACATACATGGCGGGCTTAAGCAAGTGAATGACAGAAAGTGGTGTAGAGGAGGAAGCAGAGGGAAGGAACTTGTTGAGAGCTACAAGGAATAGAAAGAGGTGGAGAGCCATGATCCCTTACGAAAGGACATGGTACATAAAAAGAAAGAAGATATTTTGGGGGTTAATTTTTTATAAACGTTTATTTCCCAATTGACAATCCTCACTTTCCGGCCTCCACAAAAAAACATGTACGGGGCGTTGGAGGTAATAAATTACTTTTCCCCCAACAATTACTTTCCCTCCAGACGGAAATATCACAAGGCTTTTGCTACTCCGTCGCAATTTTCATTGCAAATGTTCCGACGAGCTATATTCTTTAGTTCTACCAGTTCAGACCTTCACAGATATGATTTTTCATTTCACTTACAGTCGAATAATCCTCTTTTCTTTCACATTCTACTGGTAAGAAGGCATGATCATTAAGACATCTTTTCTTGTGGCACATCAGGCATCAAGGGAGGTCTCAGTCATAAAAATATGAGTAACTATAATAGATAGATAGATAGATAGATAGATAGATAGATATGAATATACCGACATAGATAAATAGAGAAAAAGAAAGAGACTGAGATATTGGGTTGGTGCAAAAAATAATGACGTAATAATGTCGTTTTTTGACGTATTTTTTAACGTCAAAAACGACGTTATTACGTCATTATTTTGCACCAACCTAATAGATAGATAGATAGATAGATAGATAGATAGATAGATAAAGAGAAAGAAAGAGTCCTAGATAGATAGATAGATAGATAGATAGATAGAGAGAGAGAGAGAGAGAGAAATAGATAGAAAGAAACTGAGATAGATAGATATGAATAGAGTGAGATAGATAGATAGATAGATAGATAGATAGATAGATAGATAGATAGATAGATAGATAGATAGATAGATAGATAGATAGATAGATAGATAGATAAAGAGAAAGAAAGAGTCCTAGATAGATAGATAGATAGAGAGAGAGAGAGAGAAATAGATAGAAAGAAACTGAAATAGATAGATAGATAGAGAGAGAGAGAGAGAAATAGATAGAAAGAAACTGAGATGGATAGATATGAATAGAGTGAGATAGATAGATAGATACGAACAGAGATAGATAGATAGATAGATAGATAGATAGATAGATAAAGAGAAAGAAAAAGTCCTAGATAGATAGATAGAGAGAGAGAGAGAGAGAGAAATAGATAGAAAGAAACTGAGATAGATAGATAGATAGATAGATAGATAGATATAAAGAAACTGAGGTAGATAGAGAGAGAGAGAGAGAGAGAGAAATAGATAGAAAGAAACTGAGATAGATAGATATGAATAGAGATAGATAGATAGATAGATAGATAGATAGATAGATACGAACAGAGGGAGATAGATAGATATGAACAGTCAGATAGATAGATAGATATGAATATGGGCACCTCGAGGTGGTGTAATGGTTAGCAAGCTTGTCTGGCTAGAACAATTACGACTGAGTAGTGAGTTCGATCCTCACTGGGTGCCCCATAATTTCGGCCTTGTGCCACATCTAAGCTACGCTTGGAAAATCACTAGATAGATATGAATATACTGACATATATAAATAGAAAGAAAGAGACTGAGATAGCTAGTTAGCTAGATAGATACATAAATAGAAAGAAAGAGTCCTATATAGATATATAGATGGATGGAGAGAGAGAAATAGATAGATAGAAAGAAACTGAGATAGATAGATAGATAGATAGATAGAAAGAAACTGAGATAGATAGATAGATAGATAGATAGAAAGAAACTGAGATAGATAGATAGATATGAACATACTGAGATAGATAGATAGATAGATATGAATATACTAGATAGATAGAAATAAATATAGACAGACTGAGATATGAATATACTGATATAGATAGAGAGATAGAAAAAAAGAAACTGAGTTAGATAGAAATATAGATAGAAATAAAGAAAAAAGGAAAGAAAGAGAATGTGATAGAAAGAAAGAAAAGAATTAAATAGATAGATAGAAAGAAAGAGTCATAGATAGATAGATAATCATGAAAAGAACTGAGATAGATAGATATGAAAAGGACTGAGATAGGTAGATAGATCTAGTAGGAGACATAGATAGATAGATAGATAGATAGGAGGACGCCTCCCAATCGCTACGATTTTAACCTCTTCACGTCTATGGTCAAATGTTATCTATCCTACATATCCTCATATGCATCTCTTACCCTTTCCTTGTCAGCCCTTAAAACAAACCTCATTATACAATCCTCTCCCTTGGTACTCGGCTCTTGTAGTGTGAGTAACAATAGTATTAAAAATATAAACATATGCAAAAAAACATTTTGAATGTTTTCCGTGCACCCAATTCCCTGTAATGTGTGCATTTGCGCATGCGTGCTGAGTCACGACGTTTTTCTTACATTCCAGCTTTCTGTCTGGTTAAATGGAGCCTAATGGATTTTAATGCATTTGGTTCTCACGTCCCCAAGCGCAAAGCTGAACGACTGCATTCAACCCCTTCCCCACATCCACGTGAACCTGATTCGCAACAAAAAAATAAAAATAAAAACCAACAAGCAAAAAAAAAATAAATAAATAAAATCTAATGACAGCGACATCTTTATTCAGCGCTGACTATTATAATCTAAATTTCACAGATTTTTTTTTTAAAGTTCAAAACCTGAATTTGGGGATCAATCCCATCTTAAATGTTAAATCTGATCACTTCGATAAAGTTAAATTGACAGCTGATGTTGATCTGTTGTTAACTCGGACAAGAAATGGAATGATTATTTTAACCCCTCCACGAAACGACACTAATCCCTTTCAATCATCTTAAGGAACATTTTTTAGCCTTCCATCAGTACGGCTGATGCTAACCTCCGGGAGAGCATTTTATTTCTTCGACACGTACTATTATAATCTACATTTCACAGAATTAAAAAAAAATGGCCAAAGAAACTTCAAAATTAAAAGTTGGGGTTCAATCCTGTCAGTGGTAAGTCTGACCGGTTCGATAAAGTCAAATAATTAGGTGATCTTAAAAATGACCTACAATCTGTTGTTAACTGGGGCAAGAAATAACTTGTTAATTTAACAAAATTGATCTCTTTAACGTCTTCTCAGTCTAACGTTTTCTACCGATATGAAGTGGAACAATTATATTGAATCACTTGATAGGAAAGTTGGTTCTCGTCAGAATGAGTCTATCTATCTATCTATCTATCTATCTATAGATCTATATATATATCAAAATCTCTAAACGGTGTTTCATTAAGACGGATTAAAGTCAGCAGTAAATAAATCAGTGTTATTGGTGAAAATTTATTTATTTCTCTATTGGATCATGTTATTTAAGTCATGGCAATTATGTGTGAAAAATAATATCGCCCAAATGTCCGGCAAATCTGAAAGAAAAAGATAAAAATCATTAGACGCGTAAATTTAATTCACATTTAAAATCAGCCCAAGTTATAGGAACACCATTTATTATTTAAAATATAAAATACATAAATTATTCACAAACTAAAATATTATAAATATTAATTACATTATTTAAAAAAAAAAAACAGCAACAACATCAGTTACTTCCTTTTGTGCATAAAACTGATGTTGATTAAGTCACTTAGATTCTTCCATAATTTACCATGGCTTTTCAATTAGCCTGATGAATATCTCTATCTATAAAAGGCAGGATGTGTGTGTGTGTGTGTGTGTGTGTGTGTGTGTGTGTGTGTGTAACGAATGCACGGCCGCAATTTTCGACGGATTTGCACCAAAATTTACATGCACATGCTCCAATTTAGAGAAAAGATCAAGACCGACTTTGCATTTCCCAACTCCCATCGATAGTGGAAATAATTGATTTTTTCATGCTTCTACGGCAGTTTTCATGTAGGTTGCGGCCATTTTCACTGGCCAGAGTGAGAGTTTATACCTGGCTGCCACGAATAGGCAGGAAGATTCTATTGGCCAGCGTGAGAGCCAACAGCTGACTGACACGAATGTTAACTAGCATGCTAGCATGCAAAAAACTACGATAGCATTCGTCACAAGTGGGAAAAATTTAAATCTGTATGGCACTTTACTTCAATTGGCTCATTCGCTTGCTTAAACTCAACGTTGATTCTGATTCCGCAGAACTGGGTTGGGTGTGAAAAAGTATTTGTTGTTAACATTCTTTTTTCATTCGGTTTTTCCAGTTACGAGTCCTTTTTTTTAAAGCTGATCATTTTGTGTTCATTTTGTTTAGTTCTTTTTTCGTAACAGATTTAATGTTTAACATAGAGCTTAGAAAAAATTCGCAGTGTGAGATAGGCAAGAAGTAAGGCATGTAGAAACATCAGCACGGCAAAGGGCACTCCTTTAAAGGCAAGGAAGGGCCAAAATATTTTAAGTCAAGTGATAGCGATTGCTGTATGAGTCGTACGATTTTGAATCAAACACGGGCAATGCCGGAGCATGCTGCTAGTATTATATAGAAGCGGTCTTAAATCTAAAAAGAAAATTGAAAATTAACGACATTTTTACTTTTGGTTACAAATACATTTTACAAGATAAAATGCTTTTTTCTTTATATATATATATATATATATATATATATATATATATATATATATAGTTTTTCTTTTTGTTTTTATTTATATATCTCATATAGCGATGGAAAGTACTTAGGAAATAAAAGTGATTTTCTCTGTTACAGTGCATTTCTTGCATCATTTGATGCAAAAAATATATGATGGAAAAATATTCATGAATATGAACGGATTATGCTAAAAATAAGTAGACATAACATTCGTAATTTATTTAATGAGACATGCCTAAAAAAACATATATATGTAGTTAATTAAAATGAATTCTAACCTAAACTTCTTTTAAATTTTAAATTGTAATAAAATAAATAAAGTTTACTAAATCAGAGAAATTAATTTTTACTTAAATAATATTTAAATATAAAAATTTAAAAAAATCGTAATATAAATATACTTGATATAGAAAAATAATTTTACTAAAGGTAAGTAATTCTAATAGATTTACTTCTATTAAATGAAATATGTAGTCTATAAAAACTAATAATGAAAATACTTTAAAGTTGTAATTAAAATTGTAGTTCATTAAAATGAATTCTAACCTAAACTTCTTAAATTGTAATTAAATAAAGTTTACTAAATCAGAGAAATGAAAATTTTACTTAAATAATATTTAAATATAAATTTTTTAAAAATTCGTAATATACTTGATGTGATAATAATTCTACAAACTGTAAGGGATTCTAATTACATTTAATTGTTCTTGAAAGAAATATAGTATATTAAAAATTAAAAGTAAAATAAATTTCAAATTGTAGTTAAATAAAAAGTATTCTTACCTAACACCCCCAAAAATCTTTAAATATACGAGGAAAAAAATGCCGTAAGAATTTTAGCCGTTAACAAAAAAAAATTTTTTCAAAATCCAGACGACACGCTTTTAACAGATGTTAGATTTCATTGAAAAATACATCCCTACCCACTACTAAAACGTAGCAATAACTGATACATTAAAATATAGACACCCAGACAACCCCTCGTCTAGTAAATTGGATTCATCTGTAACCTTGGAAACATGAATTATGATTTTAGCTGTGTCTTTAAAACCCAGTAATTTTAAAAGTTACTCCAAAATTCGCTTGAGGATGAAATGGAACTAATGTCTTTAATTTAATTACAAAATTAAATTTGGGGCTTTTAGCTTCCATTTTTGAAACATGGTTAGAACTGTGTAGCGGATAAAACATATTTTAAATCAATTAATTTATAATATATATATGTATATATGTGTGTGTGTGTATGTGTGTGTGTGTATAAAGATAGATATATATATATAGATATATATATGTTTACTTTCACTTTTCAAATTTTCTCTCAGATTTCAGAATTTTGATATTGTATCATATTTTACGACGTGTAAACACACATTAATATTTTACGACGTGTAAACACGCATTAATCTGTCTCTCTTCCCCTCTCTCTTTCTGTCTCTCTCTCTCTATATATATATATATATATATATATATATATATATATATATATATATATATATATACAAATTAAGAGAAAGAACAGATTAGGAGTCCACAGTTCTTAGCATTTTCTTTAAATATATATATATATATATATATATATATATATATATATATATATAGATAGATAGATAGATAGATAGATAGATAGATATGAGTGTGTGTGTGGGGGGTTGTGTGTGTGGGGGTGTATCTTTCACCGTATAGAAAAAGTAGATGTAAAATAACGGAATATATACATTTGGATTCATGTAAGTATCGATATTTTTTAAACTCATAAAATCCTTTCAAAATGTCTTCCCCCCAAAAAAACCCAAAATTACTTTCACTGCAAATGCTCTTAGATTTGCAAATTTTTATATTGGATTTTACATAGTGAATATTTCATAAGCACTTGTTGACGGCAGTGTCGAATGTCTTTTGAAATTCCTTTGCAGTTTCAGTAACGCGACAAAAGAATGGACAAAAAAAAATGGAAGAAGCAGACGAGCACTAGAAAGAGACATGACGAATATTACAGCCGTGGTATGAAGCTTTGAGCTTGTAACCAGTTCGTCTTGAAGACTTCTTTTTTTTTTAGCTCTTGCGCAGCAACCAAACACGAACGATAAATGAGAGAAGCACGCATGTCTCATTGTGTATTCAGTCAGCTCGATATTTTTTGTCCAATAAGATAAAGCAGAGAAGAGAAGGGGAAAGCAATGTTAGAAAGGTTATTAATAATAATGATTAGAAGAAGAAGAAGAAGAAGAAGAAGAAGAAGAATTGAAAGAAGAAGAATTGAAAGAAGAAGAAAGAGAAGAAGAATTTGAAAGAAGAAGAATTGAAAGAAGAAGAAGAAAGAGAAGAAGAAGAATTGAAAGAAGAATTGAAAGAAGAAATATTGAAAGAAAAAGACGATGAAAAATTGGAAGAAGAACAAGAAGAAGTGAAAGAAGAAGAATTGAAATATAAAGAAGAATTAAAAAAAGAAGAATTAAAAAAAGAAGAACTGGACGAAGAAAAATTCAAAAAGAAGAGTTTAATGAAGAAGAATTGAAAGACGAAGAATTGAAAGAAGAATTGAATGAAGAAGAATTAAAAGAAGAAAAATTGAAAGACGAAGAAGAATTAAAAAAAAAGTAGAATTGAAAGAAAAATAAATTGAAAAAAAAAGAAGAATTTCATGAAGAACTGAGAAAGAAGAAATGAATGAAAAAGAATTGAAAATCGAAGAATTAAGAGAAGAATTGAAAAAGCAGAATTGAAAGACGAAGAATTAAATGAAGAAGAATTGAAAAAATTAAATAAGAATTGGAAAAGAATTGAAAAAGTATAATTGAAAGAAAGATAAAAAAGAACTGAAAGAAGAAGAATTAATAAAGAAGAAACGAATAAAGAAGAACTGAAAGACGAAGAATTGAAAGAAGGTCATATTGTTAGTAGATGAGCAACAATAACTAAAGAAGAAGACGAAGAATTGAAAGAAGAAGAAAAAGAAGAAGAATTGAAAGAAGTAGTAGAATTGAAAGAAGAAGAAAAAGAAGAAGAATTGAAAGAAGAAGAAGAAAGAGAAGGAGAATTGAAAGAAGAAAAAGAAGAATTGAAAGAAGAAGAAAAAAAAATTGAAAGAAGAAAGAGAAGAAGAATTGAAAAAAGCAGAAGAAGAATTGAAAGAAGAAGTAGACGAATTGAAAGAAGAAGAAGAAGAATTGAAAGAAGAAGAAGAAGAAGAATCAAAAGAAGAAGAAAGAGAAGAAAAATTGAAAGAAGCAGAATTGAAAGAAGAAGAAGAAGAATTGAAAGAAGAAGAAGAAAGAAGAAGAAGAATTGAAAGAAGAAGAAGAAAGAAGAAGAAGAAGAATTGAAAGAAGAAGAATTGAAAGAAGAAGAAGAATTGAAAGAGGAAGAAGAATTGAAAGTAGAAGTAGAAAGAAGAAGAAGAATTGAAAGAAGAAGAATTGAAAGAAGAAGAATTGAAAGAAGAAGAAGAATTGAAAGAAGAAAGAGAAGAAGAATTGAAAAAAGCAAAAGAAGAATTGCAAGATGAAGAAGAAGAATTGAAAGAAGAAAAAGAAGAAGAAGAAGAAGAAGAAAGAATTGAAAGTAGAAGAAGAAAGAAGAAGAATTGAAAGAAGAAGAAGAAGAAGAAGAATTGAAAGAAGTAGAAGAATTGAAAGATGAAGAAGAAAAATTGAAAGAAGAAGAAGATTGAAAGTAGAAGAAGAAAGAAGAAGAAGAAGAATTGAAAGAAGAAGAAGAAGAATTGAAAGAAGAAAAAGAAAAGAAGAAGAAGAAGAAGAATTGAAAGATGAAGAAAGAAAAGAATTGAAAGAAGAAGAAGAAGAAGAAGAATTGAAAGAAGTAGAAGAATTGAAAGATGAAGAAGAAAAATTGAAAGAAGAAGAAGAATTGAAAGTAGAAGAAGAAAGAAGAAGAATTGAAAGAAGAAGAAGAAGAAGAAGAAGAAGAAGAAGAATTGAAAGAAGAAGAAGAAGAAGAAGAAGAAGAAGAAGAATTGAAAGAAGAAGAAGAAGAAGAAGTAGAAGGAGAAGAAGAAGAAAGAGCTATTCTGGAATAGGAGAATATATAAGGAGATCAACAGTTCCAACGAGAAACTGCATCAGGCGATAGGAAATCATAATATTCGCTGATTCTGCTCGCCAAACGTTACAAAGATTTGTTTCCTGATAGAAGTCTCTCCTGTTCATTTGACATGAATATGGAAAGCAAACAAAAGGCGAAGGACAATTAAAAAAAAAAAAAATTGTAGTAGCAGTGATTATTGGAGCACCGGAGTTTTGCACAAAAGCCCCCCCCCCCAAAAAAAAACACGGGATATTGGACTGTGATTTTGAAATAGAATCATTACAAACACGTGGCATATAAAACAGCGAAGGTTGGGAAAAAGAAAATACGACGGGTTTATTTTCTTCATTCAAAATAGGTGACTTGAAAATGAATTCCTTACTCCAAGCATTATCATATTCTGTGAATAGTATAATAATAATCGTGTGAATAATAATAATAATAATAATAATTTTTAAAAATGTTGCACATGGGAACACCAACGGCCCCTATTTGTAGTTGGAGCCCTCAGATTGGTTGCTAAAGATTCCAGTAAACTCATTGAAAGGATTCCTTGAAACCCATGCCTTAAAGAAATACAAAATATTGTTCTCACGACTACAGCCCACATCTCACGAAGGGCTTTATCTATGTAAAATATGTGTGTTATTGTTCTTTTTTTTTTAATTGCTCAGTGGAAAATGTCATGATGCCATTTCTAACCTTAGGTCTCTGGGCGGGACCCGGAAAGAAATGTGTACACACCAGAAATCAAAGGAAATAATAATAATAATAATAATAATAATAATAATAATAATAATAATAATAACGATGACAATATAAACCTCTTCATGGTCAATTCTCTGCCCGTTCCAAACAAATTGATGCAGACAGACTTCGTACCCATCAGTGGTTAAGTAGTGCAGAGTTAAAAGCTCAAACCGATGGTTTTATTCTTGCTACACTGTACCAAAGCTTGCGTAAGACGATAAACTACATCCTCGTCCTGGGTAAGACGATAAGCTACATCCGTGTCCTGGGTAAGACGATAAACTGCGTCCAGCAGCAAGGCCTCTGGTCAGGAGGTTTTAAGGAGCGTGAAACCATCTCTTAATTGCAGGTTTTCCCAGATCCACCCTGACCCGGGGTGGTAGCACGCGTTAGGTGGTAGAACTATGGGTAAAGAGTTAACAGCCAAACTGGGGTCAAAACACTAGGAAAATGTAAAAATAGGTTTTAATACCGGCAATAATATTTTTGAGGAAAAAACATTACCAGCAATACATTCTTGTAAATAATTATTACCAGCAACACGTTACTACCAGCAATACATTTTTGAAGAAAAAAAATATTAGCAGTAATACATTTTGGAAAAAAAATATTACCAGCAATAGATTTTTAAGAAAAAATATTACCAGCAATACATTTTTGAAGAAAAAATATTACCACTAATACATTTTTGAAGAAAAAAAATAATACCACCAATACATTTTTTGAAGAAAAAATATTACCAGCAATACATTTTTGAAGAAAAAAATATTACCAGCAATACATTTTTTAAGAAAAAAAAAATATTACCAGCAATACATTTTTTAACGAAAAATATTAGCAGCAATACATTTTTGAAGAAAAAATTATTACCAGCAATACATTTTTAGAAAAAAATATTACCAGCAATACATTTTTGAAGAAAAAAAATATTACCAGCAATACATTTTTGAAGAAAAAAAATTTTACCAGCAATACATTTTAAGAAAAAAAAATATTAGCAGCAATACATTTTGAAGAAAAAAAAATATTACCAAATACATTTTGAAGAAAAAAAAATATTACCAGCAATACATTTTTGAAGAAAAAAAAATATTACCAGCAATACATTTTTGAAGAAAAAAATATATTACCAGCAATACATTTTTTAAGAAAAAATATTAGCAGCAATACATTTTTGAAGAAAAAAAAAATATTACCAGCAATACATTTTTTAAGAAAAAAAAATTTTACCAGCAATACATTTTTAAGAAAAAATATTAGCAGTAATACATTTTAAGAAAAAAAATATTACCAGCAATACATTTTAAGAAAAATATTAGCAATAATACATTTTTGAAGAAAAAATATTACCAGCAATACATTTTTAAGAAAAAAATATTACCAGCAATACATTTTTGAAGAAAAAAAATATTACCAATACATTTTGAAGAAAAAATATATTACCAGCAATACATTTTTAAAAAAAAATATTAGCAGCAATACATTTTTGAAGAAAAAAAAAATATTACCAGCAATACATTTTTTAAGAAAAAAAAATTTTACCAGCAATACATTTTTTAAGAAAAAATATTAGCAGCAATACATTTTTGAAGAAAAAAAAATATTACCAGCAATACATTTTTAAGAAAAAATATTAGCAGCAATACATTTTTGAAGAAAAAAAAATATTACCAGCAATACATTTTTAAGAAAAAATTTTACCAGCAATATTTTTAAGAAAAATATTACCATTACATTTTGAAGAAAAAAATATTACCAGTAATACATTTTTAAGAAAAATATTAGCAGCAATACATTTTTGAAGAAAAAAAAATATTACCAGCAATACATTTTTTAAGAAAAAAAATTTTACCAGCAATACATTTTTTAAGAAAAAATATTAGCAGCAATACGTTTTTGAAGAAAAAATATTACCAGCAATTCATTTTTGGAAAAAAATATTACCAGCAATAAAAATATTGTCGGCATTAAATAACCCATTGATGTTGATATGCCGTAAAACAGACCAAACCAAATAGAAAATACCAAGTATACATGCAGAAAAATTGTGTTGACTCCAAATGTAGATTCTGTGATCAATATCCAGAAACAGTTGACCATCTTGTATCAGGTTGGTTAGGTATTGGCCATCTTGTGTCAGGTTGCACGGTGTTAACACCCAATGAATATAAAACTCAACCAATATCTG